TATCATAATTATCGTTGATCATGGTTATTCTTGCTCATCAGATTCGTGGAACACTAAAAGGCTGGGCTAAGTACTGGTGTGTCGTCAGGCCAGGGATGTTCATAATCTATAAAAGTGCAAAGGTTAGTTTTTAGCTAGCTAAATGTTTTGTCAACTGATAAATACCACTTGAAAGAGTCTTTCATTCTATATCCAAACACCTTGAAGTTGGTTAAAWTAATATGTGATGCAAAAATTGCAAAATTAACACAACCTGCAAACTTTATATAGCTTTTTGGTGCAGTAAATTGCATTTTTCATTTTCCAGGGCCAGTGGATTGGCACCGTATTACTTAACACCTGCGAATTAATYGAAAGGCCATCCAAGAAAGATGGATTTTGCTTTAAACTTTACAATCCTTTTGAACACTACATCTGGGCAACTAAAGGCCCCAAGGGGGAGCTAGCTGGGGCTATTGTACAACCATTGCCAAAGGATCATCTAATAATGAGGGCATTGACTGAATCAGATGGTAGGGAAGTGTATCTAGTATCAAGACTCAGAATTTTTTCTTAGTGAGTCTTATAATTAGCAGCTGCATAACTTGCTTTATATACTGCACAGATCAACTCAATTAGATGAAGTATCTAGTATTGTTATCACCTTGAGTGACTGACTGTCTCTTGGTTAAGTGTTCAGGAAGTCTTGACTAGTGATAGGCCAAGTGGTGATTGGCACCTGTCAGCTTGTCATAAAGTATACAGACACAAATGCCTCATTTGACGTTATAAAATATTTGAGATATAACACATGCACTGATTGGCTGGCTACATTGTTTATATCATAATAATAATAATAATAATAATAATAATAATAATAATAATGTTGTGCCAGAGTGTGACTTAAAATAGATATGTTAGATAGTTTATTCTATTTGTAATAAACTATCTATCTATATATCTATAGTGACACTCTGGCACAAAATTATTCAGAATTGTTTAATGAAAGCATTATAAATAGCAGCTCTGCTTATGTCTCTGTACTGTGATATAAACACTTTGGGAGCTGGAGAACAATTGATAAGCAAGAGAAACACTGACTGTCTGAATGACTGTCTGACTGTCTGAATGACTGACGGACTGACAGACTGACGGACTGACTGTCTGACTGACTGACTGACTGTCTGACGGACTGACTGACTGTCTGACTGACTGTCTGACTGAGTGACTGTATGAGTGACTTTCTAACTAATTCATTGGTATTTTCTATAGGGAGGTGTTGGATGGATGCATTAGAAGTAGGACAACGTCAAGGATACAACCTACTGAGAGACACCAAGGGAATGTAAGTAAAGTATTTACCTTTGCTCTTTTGACATTCTTCTTGTTTGATTTCCTCTAACAGTTAATAGTGAGGTTTTTTAAAGCTATTTTCAAACGCTTGAAAGAGGGTTCTGTTTGGTATCTCCTCTCAGTTGGCTTAGTTGGTTGGACACTGGTCTATTGTGCAGAACCTTAAAGATGGATAAAAAAATCTTAAATACTTTTAGTTTCTTTACCTGTTGATTGAAACATTTGTTTCTTGTCATATTGAAAGCCTGACATTTTATTTTGTACTGTGTTATCTTGTTGATTGTGTAGGAATAGTGAATTTTATGGTAAAGATGAGGAGAACAGAGAAGAAAGAGAGCAAGAACCTACTGTACCAGGTACTATCATAACTTCTTTGCAACCTGATGTGCATATCGTTAATAAAATCTACAGATTAAATACATTTATCATGTCGAGTTCACACGATATCAGGGATTGGCTGAGGGCTCTCGACCAATCAGAATTGAGATACTTAGTAAAATGTATAATAACTATTAGCACCCCAAGCCATCAGTTAACCAACTCCTGGTCGGCTGTTGGTCGGCAGATTATCAGCATTTGGGYGACAGTTGCTATTACTTTCTTTTTTAAATGGAAGTAAATTTGAAATAAAATCTCAAATAGTAGCATATAGTGGCTAAATAGGTATGTCTGCCGTGAGAATTTCATTGTTTAGTTGCACATACTTGACTTGTTCAACAAAATTTAGCTTTAGGATAAAGATGTTATTTATATGAAGCACCAATGCGAAGAAACAAAGGGTAATTTTACCATCAGCTCTCTGGGAAAGCTGCTACTTCCAGCAGAAACGATTACTGGTAGCCATCGCAGCTTTTGAAATCTACCTTAGATTAGTTGCCAAGATTTATAAAACCTCATGTAAAGCATAAAGTGACTATGTGTCATATTTAACAATTATTCGCCGAAGGCGAAGTGAATATCAGGGAATATTTACCAAGACGCCAGGTAAATATTCTYCGATATTCACTGAGGCTGAGGCAAATAACTGTTTTAGCATAAATACACAGGTGATTCTTTCAACAACAACAAAAAAAAAAGATAAAGAAACAAGATAAAAGACATTTTTTACGGTAACAGCAACAAAAAGGCTGGCCGCCAATTTGAATTATTGCTGGAGGTGACTATCGTGTGATAGTGTGAGTTTCTCGACCAATTAGCGCGTGAGATTTTCGATAATCTCCTGTGTATTTTTACTAAAATAATAATAATGATCATGATGGCCGTAAAACATCGAGAAGGAATAAGAATAGCAGTATAGCCTCCTCCTCAGCCATCCCCTTGGCTCTTTTTGCTCCTTGGGCTTCCTGTGGCAAGGACAAAAGAGATGAAGGGGGGAATGGAAGGGCAGGGCTAAAGTTTTTTTCTGCCATAAAATTTAACACAGGGATCCCAACAGAGAATATATAAGATAGCCTGCGGAAAAAACTTCGCCTACAAAACTGCCATTTTTCCTGGCAGAGAAAAGTGTGCACTGCATAGAAATTAATTGTTTTTGGTGCACAGCTCATTGTGGTTAGGATTTGTTAACTCAAGTTTTTCCTGGAAATTATTTTATTTCAAGAATTTCTTCCTTTTCTTGATATTCCATTTAGATGCTGATGATGGTGAAGATAGCAACGATGGGTTGGTGAGTGCTTTGATTGCTATATAATATTCTAAAATTCATTCATAACTAATTGTTTTCTGCTGATTTCTGATTG